ATAAACAACAACGGTAAGTAAAATTATATAAAATTTAAAACAAGTTTTTCCTGTATATCACTTATTGGTGGAATGAATGTTGTTGTAAAATGTATGACATAGTGGAGCTACTATATATTTCTATGAAATGTTACTTACCGTTGTCCGGTTAAATTAAAAGATCAAATCAAAGTCAAGGACGAGGGAATTGCAACTACACACAATGCATGAAATATTATCAGTTCTGTAGTGAACTAACACTCTCTTTTACTTATAAGCTCTATGTGTGTTGTACACAAGAGATTGTGTGTGTGAGAGACAACAAAGAAAGAAAGGTATTAAAGAGAGTTGAATTTCGTCAAACAACTTCCGTTCTCTAGCTATAACAATTCACTCCAATAACCAAATACATTTCCTCCAAACCAGTTTCAAAAGTTGATGTCATCAGAAACAAAGCCAAACAGACGGAAACTTTAGGAACAAGGAAGTTGAAATGATTGATTACCAATTGGAAAAGTTTTAATTACCAGAAATAACGTTTTTTGTTAGTGAAATGCCGTCGTTTTGGGTTTAAGAAACTAAAAACCCCTTGTCATAGAAGAAGACGTCTCTGTCTCCAAATTTCATGTACATCTCCTTAAGTGTTCAGAGTTCACTTCACCTCAATCGAATTCGTCTTCTTCCCCTAATATGTGATTTATCTTCATTCCCCTATTCCTATCCCTTTTCTTTGCATCTTTTGTAAAAAAACGAAATTATGTGCACTTGGTAAAGAGAGTTTTAATTGTTAATTTAAAGATTTTTAATTTATTTTTGCATTGCCTCCAAATTAGACATTTAACGAGGTAAAGTATAATCGTGATAGGAAAAGTATACAAAATCCATAATCCTAATTAAATTGGAAGTTGGAACTCTATGCTTTATATATATATATATTATCTCACGAGGAGCCTCTTCTCCATATATACACTATGATTTATAAAACGTAAGACTCATAAGAAAAAAAAAATCTTTAAAGTATTTATTTGCAACAGATAAGAAGATACATGGAGAAAGAACGGACTCTAGTACGAGAAGATGGCTCAAAACCCTCACCGTCAAAATCTTCCGGCAACATCAATTCCCACATGCACTACAACCTTTACTTCAAGGGCTTGATAAGGGAAGAAACAACAGGTTTATTGGCAGGGTTTGGCGTTGCGATATGCGACGAAGATGATAATCTCTTGTTTCAGACGAAAGGATCACTTCATGAATCTTCCATTACAGCTTTGGAGGCTGAGCTTACGGCACTGAAGCAAGGACTAACCCAAGCCGTGGGTTTGGGGATCAATCATATCTTCATCAACTGTGATTATCTACCGGTTTTCAAATTGGTAACTAGTTTTACTTGGCTAGTTTAAGGTTACTTTCACCACATGCATATCTTTACTTCAGTCTAATAATTAATATATGTTTTTCTTTTAATGTTTTAGGTCATGGGACGATCTGCGCCTGAGAAAGTCAGAATTGCTTTACTTATGGATGATGTGCAACGCATCAGACAACAACTGAGATCTAGCATCGCTGTTCTGATGACTGAAAATCAAACAAAGTTTGCTTATAACCTCGCAATGGAAACAGTAGTTTCTGAAATCAGCATAAGTATCCCTCCTGCTCAGAAGAGTACTACTTGCTGTATCTGTTTCGATGATGGTTTAGAGGATGATCAGATGTTCTCTGTTGCTTTATGTGGTCACCAATTCTGCATGGAGTGCATGAAACGATATATAGAAGTGGCACTACTCGAAGGAAGTGCACTAGGATGTCCTCATTATCAATGCGAGTCTAAGCTAACTCCTGGAAGCTGTGTCAATCTTTTGACACCTAAATTAGGAGAGATGTGGGAACGAAGGATCGAAGAGGAATCGGTTCCTGTGGCAGACAGAGTTTACTGCCCAGACCAGAGATGCTCGTCATTAATGTCGGTAGCCGAGCTCTCTAAATCTATTAATCAAGAAGATGGATCTATGAGTTGTTGTGTTAAATGCGGTAAGCCCTTTTGCATCAACTGCAAAGTTGCATGGCATAGTAACTTGTCGTGCGACGATTACAAGAGATTAGGTCCAAATCCTACGGAAAATGATATGAAGCTCATATCTCTAGCAAACCAGAAAAAGTGGCGTCAATGTGGAAAGTGCAAACATATGGTCGAACGTTCGGTAGGATGCATTCAAATGACTTGCAGGTATATGTCATCAAATTTGAATCGCATACTCTAGCTTGTTATAGTTATTCTTTTGGAATTTTGATTATGTTTTCAGCCTAACTAACATTATGTGTATTTTTATGGTTGATGGATAGGTGTGGGTATTCGTTTTGCTACAAATGTGGAGACGAATGGAAAGAAGGAGGTTGCCCTCACCGATTTAAGTATAACTTGGTGGGATGCGCAGTTTGTTTTATTTTCTTAATTATTATTTTCGTATTGCTAAGTATTCCCTTTATTTGTAGTTCATAAATTTTTTTTTTTTTTTTTTATCATATACTGTAATTTAAAAATGTTCGGTCATAAATACATTTGTTACTGGCCATCCATTAGTCCGATCGTTACATAAAATATTTACTCTGCTTGAAGAACGACTCCTCTACACTTCTTAAATGATCCCATTTGTTATGTTTTAGTGACATAAAACAGCTCCGCTCTTACTTGCAGGAGGTGCAATTTGTCTTCCAACCTAGAGATTGTAATAGTGTGGCAGATAGAGTAGCGAAGGAAGCTCTTTCAATTGAGATTGATGCTCCTAAGGTGTACTCTATAGTGCCATAATGGGCAAAAGTTCAAGTCAATGTGGACAATATGTTGTAATCCGACATAGGTTATTAGAAAGTTTGACGTTGAGCCAAAAAAAAAACATTTGTTACTAAACATGACCTGACTAGAAGAACCGTCGAGGACCCTCGTGACCCATTCTCTTGAGAAGCTAGAGAGTTTCAACTCCACTCTCTCGAAGAATCAACTTTTCTTTCTCTCTCTATTGTAACAATTGCGACGTGATCCTCCAACTGTCCAACAACACCGTCACCGTCATAGGTCGCGGGCGGCGGGATTTGCATGTATTACTTTTGAGGTTCTTTTTGCTATTGCTTTAATAATTTTTGTCATTATCAAAGGCGGACCGGACCTACTTGAACAAAATAGTGGTTCAAGACTTCAAGTGACACACCTTTAGTTTTGTTTTTTTGTTTTGTTTAAAGCTTATGGGTTTGTTAATTGAACCAGCTTAATCTTTGATTTTGACACCCCATTGACTACAACCCAATGTTTTTGGTCCACTAAACTCTTACTAAAACTTCACCATAAACCGAATAAGACTTTTTTTTTTTTGACATCAACCGAATAAGACTTTTTTTTACCAACCAAGAAAAAAAGATAAACAAGCTTTCATTAAATAATTGCTAATAACATAAAGCCCAATTAGCCTAATAATTTAGATGGTTAATTTTTTCGGGTCCGCCACTGGTCAGTAATTCAGTATAACTGAACAAAAACAGAATAAAAGGTTTTGACGTTTTGTAGATTTGTCATGTTGTGATATACTGATATAAACATTTTGTTTTTATGTGAAAAAAAAAAGTTCTTTTATGTCTAAGGCAAAACAAAAAAGGACAAAACATCGTATATTCTTCTNTATTTATTTTCTTAATTATTATTTTCGTATTGCTAAGTATTCCCTTTATTTGTAGTTCATAAATTTTTTTTTTTTTTTTTTATCATATACTGTAATTTAAAAATGTTCGGTCATAAATACATTTGTTACTGGCCATCCATTAGTCCGATCGTTACATAAAATATTTACTCTGCTTGAAGAACGACTCCTCTACACTTCTTAAATGATCCCATTTGTTATGTTTTAGTGACATAAAACAGCTCCGCTCTTACTTGCAGGAGGTGCAATTTGTCTTCCAACCTAGAGATTGTAATAGTGTGGCAGATAGAGTAGCGAAGGAAGCTCTTTCAATTGAGATTGATGCTCCTAAGGTGTACTCTATAGTGCCATAATGGGCAAAAGTTCAAGTCAATGTGGACAATATGTTGTAATCCGACATAGGTTATTAGAAAGTTTGACGTTGAGCCAAAAAAAAAACATTTGTTACTAAACATGACCTGACTAGAAGAACCGTCGAGGACCCTCGTGACCCATTCTCTTGAGAAGCTAGAGAGTTTCAACTCCACTCTCTCGAAGAATCAACTTTTCTTTCTCTCTCTATTGTAACAATTGCGACGTGATCCTCCAACTGTCCAACAACACCGTCACCGTCATAGGTCGCGGGCGGCGGGATTTGCATGTATTACTTTTGAGGTTCTTTTTGCTATTGCTTTAATAATTTTTGTCATTATCAAAGGCGGACCGGACCTACTTGAACAAAATAGTGGTTCAAGACTTCAAGTGACACACCTTTAGTTTTGTTTTTTTGTTTTGTTTAAAGCTTATGGGTTTGTTAATTGAACCAGCTTAATCTTTGATTTTGACACCCCATTGACTACAACCCAATGTTTTTGGTCCACTAAACTCTTACTAAAACTTCACCATAAACCGAATAAGACTTTTTTTTTTTTGACATCAACCGAATAAGACTTTTTTTTACCAACCAAGAAAAAAAGATAAACAAGCTTTCATTAAATAATTGCTAATAACATAAAGCCCAATTAGCCTAATAATTTAGATGGTTAATTTTTTCGGGTCCGCCACTGGTCAGTAATTCAGTATAACTGAACAAAAACAGAATAAAAGGTTTTGACGTTTTGTAGATTTGTCATGTTGTGATATACTGATATAAACATTTTGTTTTTATGTGAAAAAAAAAAGTTCTTTTATGTCTAAGGCAAAACAAAAAAGGACAAAACATCGTATATTCTTCTTCTCTTCCCCTGTATTTTCGGGATATCATTAACTAAACAAATTTCTTCCCTTGATCTAGTTTGGATTCACATGAATGAATCAATCTTCTGAGAATGCTTTCGCAGTAGCAGAGGAAAGATGATTCTTCCTAAAATAGATGACCCAAAACCCTCAGGAAAACCTTTACCTAACAAAACTTCCGGTAACTTTGGCATTACTCCTCAACGCTTGTACCGTCTTTATTTCAAGGGTTTGGTACGTGAGCACTCATTGGCGGGATTTGGAGTTGCAATTTGCGACCAATATGATAAACTGTTGTTTCAGATGAAGGGGCCAATTCATAGCCCCAATGTTACTGTTTTGGAGTCTGAGCTTACTGCATTGCAACGAGGACTAACCGAAGCCGCGACTTTGAGGATCAATCACCTCTCAATCTACTTCGATTATCAGCCACTATACAAATTAGTAAGTTTTTTTTGAAATATTTTCTTGTCTTTCTGTACATCCCGATTTGCAATAAATGAAGGAGAGGAATACGAGAATTAATTTGGCTATCTATGTCATCAAAGTGCACTTACCTTTTCGGTCAAGGGCCCATAAAGAACTAGAGTTAAGCGTGCTTGGGCTGGAGTAGTGGAAGGATGGGTGACCTTTCGGGAAGTCCTCGCGAAACCGTGTGAGTTAGGAAAAAACACGGGGAAAGGTCGAGTGATGATTGCAGGGATAGTAAATACATTCTCCGAGCCTCCCAAAAATAACGCACCGACCGTCGGACAGGGGTGGGGCCCACGGGCCGAGAGAGGGCGATGATTGCAGGGATAGTAAATACATTCTCCGAGCCTCCCAAAAATAACGACCGCCGTCGGACAGGGGTGGGCCCACGGGCCGAGAGAGGGCGTGGGTGACTCACCGGGAGGGGCGCGGGGGCGTTATAATTTGGTATCAGAGCCAAACCCAGACGAGAGTGTGGAGTCAAGTTGAAGTGGCCTTGACTCACACCGTCAGGGGGTGACGATCCAGGTGCGCAACGAGGACGTTGCGCATAGTGAGTGGGGTGAGTTGTAACATCCCGGTTTGTGATAAATGAGGAGAGGCTTAAGAGAATTGATTTGGCTACCTATGTCAACAAAGTGCACTTACCTTTTCGGTCAAAGGTCTATAAGTAACTCCAGAGTTAAGCGTGCTTGGGCTGGAGTAGTTGAAGGATGGGTGACCTTTCGGGAAGTGGTTTCCGAAACCGTGTGAGTGAGGCCAAAACACGGGGAAAGGTCGGGTGTTGATTGCAGGGATAGTAAACAAGTCATTAGAGCCTCTCAAAAATAACGGACCGGCCGTCGGACAGGGGTGAGGCCCACGGGCCGAGATGGGCCTGCGGGCCCAGAGAGGGCGTGGGTGACTCACCGGGAGGGGCGGTCGGGGCGTTATACTTTCCTTATCTCATGTTGTTGTAATTAATATATCAAACGAGCATTTTGTTAGGCTTATGTGATTTCGATACTAATGAGGTTAGTGATGCTAGCTAGTGATCACTCAATGACACTGAAAATTATTTTGATTTGCTTATTTTACTTTTACGATGATGCGATATATAACACCAATATATATGGATTCTCTTGCCCTAATAATTAGGTTTCTTTGTGTTGATGAATCATATAGGTCACGGGACAATCCATGCTAGAGGAAAATAACCCTAGCCTGCTACTGGATGATGTGCAACGCATTCTACGAATATTTACGTCGAACTTTCCGGTTTTTGTTGCCAAAGATAAAATCAAATACGCTTATAAATTAGCAAGAGAAACAATTGTTTCTGAGACCAGCATACATGTGGATCGTATTACTCGGAAAAAGACTTGCGGTATCTGTTTGGATGAAGATATCAATGCTGATCAGATGTTTTCTGTCGATAAATGCCGTCACCGGTTTTGCTCCGAGTGCGTGAAACGATATATAGAAGTGAGGCTACTAGAGAGAAGTGTGTTGCGATGTCCTCACCATCGCTGCAAGTCGAAGCTGAGTTTTGGGAGATGTGATCATCTTTTGACAGCTAAACTAAGAGAGATGTTGGAAAAAAGGATCAAAGAGGATTCTATTGCTGTAACAGAGAGAATTTACTGCCCAAACCCGAGGTGTTCAGCTTTGATGTCGGAAACGGAGATGTTAAAATCTACTAAAAAATCTGGAGTTAGGAGATGTTGCGTCCAATGCATTGAACCGTTTTGCATCCACTGCAAAGTTCCATGGCATGATAACATGTCGTGCGACGATTACAAGAGGTTGCATTCGGATGAACCTACTACAGACGATGCAAAGCTAAAAGCTCTAGCAAATCAGAAAAGGTGGCGTCAATGCGGAAAGTGCCAACACATGATTGAACTTTCTAAAGGATGCGTCCGCGTAAGGTGCCGGTACGTATCATTTTATCTATATGATGATCACATTTCCGTATCTAATTTGGTTATGTTTGTAATTTGATTCAGCATTAAAAAACTATATTGCGTTTTTATGGTAGATGTGGACATGGGTTTTGCTACCAATGTGGAGCTGAACGTTGCACACATGGTCATGCATTTCCTCGACCGCCACCACCACCTCCACGGCCATTACCGCCAGGATTTTGGTTACACATTCTGTCCGGTGTTTTCGGTATCGTTATTCTCGTTGGGACAGTGTTGTTTATTTGTATGCAGGGCCGGCTTATAGGGTAGTGCACAGTGCGATGCACAGGGGCCAATTAATACAGAAAAGGAATATCAAACTCGGACTATTTTCAATATTAAGGGGCCTATTTTCAGAAAAAATATCATTTTTTATAGGTTAAAGGGGCTACTTCCAAAAAAGAATATATATATATATGTAAAAAGACCTATTTTTTTAATCTTACACATAGGCTTATCAAATCTTTGAACCGGCCCTGTTTGTATGTTTTAATTTACTAATTAGAAGGAAAAATAAATGTCATAGTACTAACTATGGTTAAGAAGCAAAGGCCTCTGATTCATAACTTATACATTTAACAAAAAGGCAATTTAAAAGAATAAAACATTTAACAAAGAAAATACAGATGATATACTCATATACATACAAATGGTTGCTGCATTGAATAGTTTGTGTGTGGAACTTAATTACTACTTATAAAGTTTTACGTGTGGAGATTTGCTGTTACTAGGTGAATACTAAAATGGCAGCACATGTCATGGTATAGATGTCAAAATACATCTTCTAAGAAAAAATGTTGAAAACGTGAATTTGGAATTTAAAAAGTTTTATAGCATCATAAATGCAAAATGAAATTACTTAAATAATTATAATCTATTGAAAATCAATGCATATCTTTGAAATAGAAGGAAATCAAATCAACACTAACCAAAAGCGGTTACAAATGTAATTGACAATTAATAATGACAAGGTATTATTAATTGACTGACATCTTCTCAAGCACGCTACAATACACTCTTCCTTCTTCCTATATATTCCCACTCACAGTTTTCCGATAAAATTGCGACTACTAAAAGCATTCATGGAAAGAGACGGAGTAGGCATGGTTTCCAAGAAACGGCGAACCGGAGATTTCCCAAACCCTAAAGGCGAGGGTTCTGCTAAGGTCGTCGTCCAAACCCAATCCGGCCCGGTAAAATTTGTGGAAAATGCCGTTTACAGATTGTACTTCAAGGGTTTGATAAGTGACGAGATTGCGGCGGCGGACGGTGAGAAAAGGACGGCGACGGCTGGAATGGGGGTTGCGATTTGCGACCAGACGGATAAGCTGTTGTTTGAGATGAAGGAAGCTGTGAGCGACGCTGTGACTGACCGTAAAGAAGTTGAGCTTAGGGCTCTGATTCGTGGGCTAAGCGAATCACTCGGTATGGGGATCAGAAACGTCGTGGTTTATTGTAAAGACGTTGAGATTTACCAAATGGTAAGTGCTTTTTTGTTTTGTTTATACGCACTTTTAAATGATTCATGAGACTAAAATGAGAGTATAGGGTTATTAAATTAAAATATTGAGTCCAAACATTTGCTTGTATTTGCATGATGACAAAATAAAATAAAAACCATTTGATTGTACTTAAAGGCTTGTGTGCATGTCTAACCAATAGATTGTTGTATGAACTAAATGTTTTGAAATTATCATGAAAATTCTGTATAATTAACAGATGATTTCTTCAAAAAAAAAAATTATTAATGCGGAATAATCCACAAGAGAGAAGCTATATATCATATGTTCCTCTGTCAAGTGTCCATGCTGATGAAAAACTTTCGATTTGTGATGCGCTAACGTCTTGGTTTAACGAAGCTGAATCTGACTTTCTATGCAGATAACTGGTAGATGCAACCCTAAGAAGAATGAAATTATCCAACTTATGGAAGATGTCGGGCACCTTAGAGAAAAATTTGCTTCTAGCAAAGCTACTCTGGTTTCCCGAGAAAATATTAAGTTTGCTTATAAACTTGCAAGAGAGGCAATTGTTTCTCAAATCAGCACCGCCGACGGTGATGGACATGATGAGAATGATGATGATAATGGTGATGGACATGATGATGATAGTGATGCACATGGTGGTGATGATCATGATTATGAAGATCCTTGGGCTTACGGTTGTGATTGCAAATTTTGTATTCCTGATTCTTCACCTGGCGTCGACATCGACGCTTACATAGAGTATTACAGTCTTTGAGTCTTTGTGTTTTGATTAACACGGAGATTAATAAAATAGTTGTTTTGAAACTTTTTCCATCACTTTTCTTTAATTTTTTTTCTTTCTAGTTTGAGAAAATAATATTCTTCATTGTTAGTTTATTATTTTCACATCATAATTAATGTATTACTGTAAGAAAATATATTCGCGCGGGAAAATTTTAATTTATAAAAGCTAAAACACTGACACATCACTTTACAAATGAGCTGATAGATATGATTCTAATCCTAATCGAGATTAATTCACTGCAAACAAGAAACGTTAAGAGATTGGTAAAGCTTGTTTTGTTTCTGTCGAAAACAATTATGTAACCAAATTAAACATTTAAATCTATGAACATTCTCATTTTCTTCAGGGGTCATATTGGTAGTTACCGATTCTTGCTCATATTTCTATTTGATAAATATTAGTAAAATGTAACATTTACTATGGAAAAGTTTATTCGAAATTTGAGTTTTAGAAAACTAACCCACTTTTTAAATTCTACTTGTTGCTCTATTTTCTATTGGCAAAAGAATATGATTTATATTTTATCTTCAATACTAGTTGTAGAATATGAAGTCTAACTTATCTTCACGTTTCTACTAGTGATAGAAGATGCTTTATGACATATGTTCAACGTTCTACCATTTGTAGAAAAAACATTCTACAGTTTTCATATGTTCTACGGTTAAGTAGAAAATGTTTTCTAACAATTTCTCAGATTTCTACCATCCATAGAGTGCACATTTTTGAAATAACTTAGATTCTACAATTCGTATAATGCATATTCTAGAAGTAACTAAATTATACCAACTGTAGAAATAAAGTTTATGTGAGAATCTGTGAATATCTAGTCGAATATGGAAATTAAATATTTTCAAATCTAGCATTTTCGTTTATATTATTTTAAAATTATTTCAGTTGAAAAAGTTATTTTTCTATTATCTTAAAGATAATTCTAAATAATTATTTTTATTTTATTATAATAAAAAGAAGAAGAAAAAAATCTTCAAGATGTTATTTATAGAGTTTGATTGATATTGATGATAAATTTTAGTATATTTTGTAAATAATATATGTATATCCAACTATAACTATCTGTTGAAATATATTTTCTTGTCTTTTAAAAATCTATCTTTCTGATACATCTAAAATCTAAATTATTATTTAATATAAATTCATTATTTTTCTCTTAATTTTAATTAATTTTTTTTCTCATTATTAATTCCAAAAACTGATAATGGTTTTATTGTTTTTTCACTTATTAATAATTTTATTTTTCAAAGTTTAAAAAATAAGGGTTAGTTTTCAAATTAGATTTTTTTTAGAATATTAATCTAACTCTCCCTTTTTTTGTTATTTTATTTTTAAATATGTTAAAATATATTAATCTAATTTGGTGAATTTAGCATTGTATTAGGATAAAATATGGTAAAAAAGGTTATGTGTAGAGGAGAGCTTTTTGATTTGTTTTTGCCAAATTTCCCATAAAATGGACGATTTTTCTGTGCATTTCTCCCAAAAGTATAACTGACTGATTCAGAATATTTTGTTACCAAAAACAAAATTAAATAAAGTCATACAAAATTCCAAAAAGAACAAATATTCCCCAAAATCCGAATTTATTTACTTGTTGTTTAGTAACCGCACTTACATGCTCTCTGCGGCGGCGTAGTCTCTCTAGTCCCGAAGTAAAATCCAATGGCCACGACTGATAACGGCGACGACGTCGCGGTGATCCTTGAAGAACAGCGTGAAGAAATCACGGCGGCGAAGACCCGAGCCCGCGACCACGATTTGGCTTTTAATCTCCAGATGCAGGAAGCCCTAGCCGCTTCTCGAGCAGCCCACACTTCCTCGCCGGAATCTCCTTCCGCCAGAGACTTGGACGCAGCGACAGTCAATTTCACCGGCGGAGATGGTGAAGACGGGGACGAATTCGACATCACTTCTCTCATTCTACAAGACATTGCCCGAGTCGATCAGGAGAGGCAAGACCGTGAGTTTGGCGAGCAGGAGATGAAGAGACTCAAGGTGGAACTCGACCGTCGGATCCACGATCAGAAGTTCGCCAAAGAGATTATGAACATCCCTGACGGAGATTGGAGCAAAGACGGTGACAATATCCATAAACCTTACACCGTCGAGGCCGCTTCGTCTGCCTCTTCGTTCGCATCCATTGGTGATGAGAGCTTTAGAGTGTACTGCAAAGGCTTGGTGAATGAGGAGATGATCGGAGACACGAGAGCCATGGTTGGTGGTATCGGCGTGGCCATCTGTGACTCGGCGGATAATCTGATTTGGGAGGTGAATAAAGTTTTGGAAGCTGGAGAGACTAAAACCTCACTGATTGCAGAAATGGAAGCTCTTGTTCTTGGGTTGGATGAAGCATTGACCTTTGATTTGGGAAGAGTCACGTTTTTCATTGATGATTTCAAGATCTTCAATTTTGTAAGTAAATCTCTACCCTGAAACCTCATGATTTGACTCAGAAATTACATTTCATTGAAACTAAGAGTTTGAATTTTGTGAATGACTGAGACTTGTGTAGCTGTGTGAGTGTAAAAGTTTACTGCTTTTTTGTTTGCTACGCTTTGGACTCATTGCATTACTATATATTATATAGTTTTGTTTGTTTGTGATACTTAGTGGACTAGATTCAAATCCTTCAATGATTTTTTAATTCAATTATTAGGCTTTTGATGTAGCTGTTCATGTTTTGCTTCTGTAATCCAGGTGACAGGTAGGGTAGTACCAAGGCTGAGCACTGTAGCAACACTTTTAAACCAAGTGACTCTTCTCCGAGCGAAGTTCACTTATTGCGAACCATCTCTCTTGGCAAGAAACGATGTTAAGTTTGTCTTCAAGCTCGCAAGAGATGCGATGGTTTCCCAAATCAAATGGCCAGAGGAAACCAGCAAAGGCAGGACTTTCAAGGAAACTTGTGGGATATGTTACGAAGGCATCACCGTCGACAAAATGTTCTCGGTGGATGGCTGTTTCCACCGTTTCTGCTTCTCCTGCATGAAGCAGCACGTTGAAGTGAAACTACTTGAAGGGAAAACGGCTAGCTGTCCGAAGGACCAGTGCCAATCAGAAGTAAAGATGGAGTGCTGCGCCAAGTTCTTGGATCCTAAGCTTGTCGATGTTATGATCCAGCGCAAGAAAGAAGGCTTGATTAGTGTTTCGGATAAAGTTTACTGTGCATATCCCAAATGTTCGGAGCTGATGGTCAAAGCTGAAGTTTTGGAATATACCAAACAGTTTTTCGTCGGTGCTGATCGATCTGGAGCGAGAAAATGCATGAAGTGTCAACTGTTTTTCTGCATGAACTGCAAGGTACCGTGGCACTATGACATCACTTGTGAGGATTTCAGTAGATCAAAGGGTTATAAGAAGGCTGGCGATGGAATGTTGAAGTCTTTGGCGCATAGCAAGCGGTGGAGGCAATGCGTAAAGTGTAACAATATGGTTGAGCTTATTTGGGGATGCTACCATATAACTTGCAGGTAGACTTTGCTTTATACGTAAGAGATATAACATGTTTGGTCATTTGTTACTATGGTTGATTCGATTTTGTTACTATTTTTTGTGGTTTGTAGATGTGGATACGAGTTTTGCTACACGTGTGGAGCTGAATGGAAGTTGAAGAAACCAACATGTGCGTGTCCGATTTGGGATGAGCGCAACATAATCCGTAGGCGTCAAAGATATTAGGTAAGCTTTTAAGGAGAAGTGTTGTGTTGGTAACAACAGTTATAGACCAGTTATGGTTTTGGTTTTGCATTAGGCTTTCCGTTCTTGTTATTCTTGGAACTTGGTCTAAACTCGGTGTTTTAGTTTGGATCTTTTATTTTGGTTTTGTGAATGTACGGAAAAAAATTACATTTAAACTCGAATGTTTAAGATCCAAGATTAAAAAGTGAAACTCGTCATCTACGCAACTATACTCTTGCAGGTATCGGAGATTATAGTTTCTCAGTGGTCCGAATTTGGGATGACTATTGTGCTGGTTTTGTTTGATTAAAAGTTTGGTTTCAATTTTGGTTTTCACTAAGAAATATATTGATCAGATTATTTTTGGTTTAGAAAAATACACTTATTTTCGTATAAAATAGTGTGTATACTCTTTTACTCCAGTTATATTATACATTGGATTTTTAGTATTTTCATATCCAGAGATAACTAAAGGCATTCAGTTAGTAAAAATAGAAAAATGCAAGAGAAAAGTTGCGTAGATGACAAGCTTTAGGGGAAAACTGAATGGTTCCAAACGCCGTCGTTTTCTCAGATAGCGAGTACTAATAATGCTTTACATTTTCTCTTGTAAAATAAGTAAATTAACAAAGCTATAACAAGGATCTATAAACATGGTCACGACAATCAATTATCAATCTCGTGGTAACAGATATATTGATTTTACTGTTCTAGGGAAATAATGATAGGTTGGGTAAATTAAAAAAGAAAAAGAAAAAAGAGAGGCATGATCATGTATAGTGTTTCGTTTCATCAGAACATCCTCTCGGAAGACTGGTAATTTGGAAACCACACAGTCGACTGTGTGATTCCGTCGCCGTCGTTTGCTTCCGGGGTTCCGACAACTAGTTGCCGGGGAAGCGTAGAGAAATTTCTCGGTATCGGTACCAATATTGCTCGAACCCTCGTGGTTGGCTACTCTTCATGCAGAGTGAATACCACGTTGGCTGGGGTCGAATTGGTGACCAATTTGTATTTATTTTATACTTTACGGATTAATATTGAAGTTAATCCCCGGTTTAACACGGTTCGATTTATTCAAGCTATAGAGCACACAACATTTCTACACGCCTTATGTTTCATCAAATTGGAAAACAATGATGCTTGTTCCTCTTCATCATGATCACTGACTCACTGTGTTACCGTTCTCAGTTACGCAGGCAAATTGTTGACTATGCCGTGTTTCAGTGGTGTTGAACCATTCCTAGCTAGAAAAGTCCGTACATCTCTTTCTAAATGCCTGGTCCTTTTTGACATAATAAGTAATTAGTTCTTAACTGTTTCTTGACTTTGAAGTGTTTCTCTATTGGGAAAATTATTTATGTAGACATGCAAATATATTGGAGCCAGTAAAACATTCTTCTTTAAACTAAAGATTCAGAGTTCAGGATGGTGGTGGGGCTTGGTCTTGGTGATAGAAGAGTAGTGTGGAGTATATTCTTAAACTAGGGAGTGATAGAGAAGTCTCAAATTTTTTTTATTTGACTCTAATAATTTAGGGACTGTTATATTTAAACTATTGTTGTTTGGTTTATAATGTACTAATGTTCATTACATTTTACCAAGTCAACTCTGAAATGCTCATACATAAATTGTTTGCATTGTTCTCGACAAATTCAATGGAAAGAAAATGTTTTATCGTGGACTTGGGCAATGAAAATGATTGGACTTCATATTATATACACAGCTGGAGAAAATTATCATCCAGGACAAAAGATTCGTTCAAGATAGTCTGATTCTTCTCTGTTTTTTCTTCACAAAATGGCTCAAGGATTGCATCTGATATGGATGATCTTCTGTGTTCATCTGACTTGCATCTCAAGTCAACAAGAGGAGCCAAACTTTATCTTCAACGGCTTTCACCAAGCAGACCTTTACACTGACGGTCTTGCCAAGATTCTTCCTAAAGGACAGTTACAATTAACCGATGGATCAGGACAGAGAATGGGCCACGCTTTCATCAAGAAGCCTCTTGTGTTCACTTCACCTGAATCACTCTCTTTCTCAACACATTTTGTGTGTGCCTTGGTGCCAGGAGCCAATGGTGGTCATGGTATTGCCTTTGTTTTATCTGCTTCCATGGATCTAACTCAAGCAGATGCAACACAGTACTTGGGAATCTTCAACATCTCGACGCAAGGATCTAATTCTTCTCACATAGTTGCTGTTGAGCTAGATACCGCACTCAGCTCTGAGTTTGATGACATCAATAACAATCACGTTGGAATCGATGTTAATAGCCTCATATCTGTTGCATCTACTCCGGCTTCTTACTTCTCCGAGATTGAAGGTATAAACAAAGATATAAAGCTTTTGAGTGGAGATCCTATTCAAGTCTGGGTTGATTATGGAGGAAGCTTGCTTAATGTTTCTTTGGCTCCTCTTAAAATCAAGAAGCCAAGTCAGCCTCTTTTGTCACAATCCATCAACATTTCAGAGATTTTTCCGGGAAGAAAGATCTTTCTTGGCTTCTCTGGAGCAACCGGGACACTGGTCAGCTACCAATACATACTTGGATGGAGTTTTAGTAGAAGAAAAGTTTCATTGCAGAGCCTTGATGTCACTAAACTTCCTAAAGTTCCTTCTCATGGAGCTAAAAAGAAGAGACCATCAACACTGCTTATTGTTCTTCTCATTTTACTGGCGATCATAGGGTTGTTGGCTCTTGGAGGAGCTTATGTTTACAGGAGAAGGATGTATGCAGAAGTAAGAGAAGAATGGGAAAAAGAATATGGCCCGCATCGTTTTTCTTATAAAGCTCTGTACAATGCAACGAAAGGGTTTCACAAAGATGGACTTCTTGGAAAAGGAGGTTTCGGAAATGTTTACAAAGGAAAAGCTCTGTCTTCATCCAATGGAGAAATAGCAGTGAAAAGGGTTTCTCACGATGCAGAGGAAGGTATGAAACAGTTTGTAGCTGAAATAGTGAGCATGGGTAATCTGAAACACAAGAACATGGTTCCACTTCTTGGTTACTGTAGAAGAAAAGGTGAGTTGCTTCTTGTATCTGAATACATGCCTAATGGTAGTCTTGACAGATACTTGTTCCATCAAGATAAACCTCCCTTTTCGTGGCGAAGAAGGCTTGTAATCATCAAGGACATAGCTTCAGCTCTCAACTACATGCATACAGGAGCTCCACAAGTTGTTCTACACAGAGATATCAAGGCTTCTAACGTTATGTTAGACGCAGAGTTCAACGGGAGGTTAGGTGATTTTGGTATGGCGAGGTTTCATGATCACGGTGCGGATCCTGCTACAACTTCTGCTGTGGGAACCATTGGCTACATGGCGCCAGAGCTTTCTACAATGGGAGCTTCCACGGAGACCGACGTTTATGGTTTTGGTGCATTTTTGCTTGAAGTAACGTGTGGGAGGAGACCTGTTGAGCCTGGTTTGGAAGGTGAGAGACGGTTTTTGGTTCAGTGGGTTTGCCAATGTTGGAGAATGGCTTCTTTGCTTGGAGCTAGAGATGCCAGATTGAGAGGTGAGTTTTCAGCTGAGGAAGTTGAGATGGTGTTGAAACTTGGGTTGATTTGCACAAATGCTGTGGCGGAAATGAGACCTTCTATGGAAGAAGTTGTGCAATACTTGAATGAAAGCTTGAAGCTTCCTGATATCTCTCCGAATTCGACTGGTATCGGGTCTTTCTCCCTGCTCGGATCAAACCCTTTCCCTGCTTCCCCTATTACCAAGAACTTGTCAGCGTCCTTTTACACTTCTTCCTCGGCCAATGACACTACGTTTGTTACTCATTCGATTGTTCATGGGCATGGACGGTAAAAGTCTGAGAAGTATGCTCCTGTAATCTTAGTTTTTTGTGTGTGTTTTGAGATGATAAAAGCAATGTTAGGCTGGTGTGAAGTAATTTTCTGGTTAGCAGGCTTGCCATTGTGCTCCTCTTGTGTGAGGTATATTTTGATATTACACAAAGATTATCCATCATTGTAAAAGTAGTGTTTGGAGTCTTTTTGTAGAAATGCTTTTAGGGTTCATAATTTTGATAGTGTATTAACACTAAATATTTATATATATATATATATATATATATATAACCAGTGTGATGGTTTCATGCCGTATCTGTATTTGAGTAATCTTCAACTTCTTTGTACAAATCTCCTTTCAGTATAGATACCAATCATTTTGTCAAAGAGAACTAAGCCGCGTCAAGGCCCAAAAAAGAGGACAATCTCATTGAGCTGAGTTCTAATTTCCATGAGAAAGGTTAAAGAAATAATAGGAGAAGACTTAAACGTGAAGATTGCATTGTCTCTGTTTTGACTTGCCTTAAGCTTGATTTTATGTACCTACTTCAATATTGATTCTACAATATAACTGTGTGCTTGGCTTTCCCTAGGCTTTGATTCCTTTTACTTTTGAATACCTTTTTCTCTAGGAGTATTAATCATCATAAGATATCACTTTAAATATGATTAACTTAATGATCTTTTCTTTTGGTAGTACTAGTGGCCTACGTTTCTGACTAATGCTATGAGCCTATGATCATTTATGTTAAAGTAATGTCTGAGTTAGTAGAATATTTGATTGACAACGTGAAGCAGTTCTTAATTTATATAAAGTTTGTAAAGCTAATAAAAAAAAGTTAAACATATGATGCTTGCTAGGGTGTGATTACTACTAGCATAAGTTCACCAAATCCTGTTTGATCAAAGAGGAAAAAACCTGCACAGAGAACGAGAACGGGAACTAGAACTCTCTTATTCATTAGCATCAATGCCTCCTGGATTCTTCTGATCTAGTATTATATTTTAAAAGTCTTTGTGTCATAAGAAATTAAATAAGTAGCTGAAGTTATGAGGAAAATCCGGTAAAAGATTGTGGGTACTAAGTCCAAGACACATGTAACGCCTAGTTTAATGAATTTTGCTGTTTGTTAGCATGATTCTAGCACTTTCCTTTGTTTTCTTTGGACTTATTTCTGTTTAAACTAATCTCTGAATATAAACATTTGAAAACCATGTGTAGATATGTTGATTTCTAAAACATTATCTAGCTGTTACTTACAGTTTGTAATGCCAATAAAGAAATGAATCTGTGTAGTTTTTATAATCAATATGTACTTCCTTTTCTCTCTGCAGCTTGCTAACAAAGACCTGCAAAAATCTCTCTGTTTCACATCATCAGCATCAATGTCTAATAGATTGCTTCTGTTCTTGTTCATCTCTTCTTTTCATCTAATATCTTCATCAGAAGATACAAGCTTTATCTTCAACGGCTTTACAAAAGCAAACCTTTCTCTTGGTGGCTCTTCTACATTGCTTCCCAATGGATTATTGAAGCTTGTCAATGACTCGCAGCATCAAAAGGGTCATGCTTTCATCAAGAAACCAATCGTCTTCAGCTCCTCAAAACCACTCTCGTTCTCAACACACTTCGTCTGTGCTCTCGTGCCTAAGCCAGGATTTCAAAGCGGCCATGGCATTACCTTTGTGATATCTCCTTCTGAGGATCTCACATTGGCTCAACCAGCTCGGTTCTTGGGGATCTTCAACGCCTCAACAAATGGAGATGACTCTTTTCAGCTGTTTGCTGTTGAGCTCGACACTGTTAAAAACTTAGACTTCGGTGAGACGAGCAATAATCACGTTGGGATCGATGTGAACAGTCCCATTTCAGTCGAATCAGCGCCAGCTTCTTACTTTTCAAGAAAAGAACAGAGGAATGTGAGACTAAACCTCTCTAGTGGAGATCCTATACAGGTCTGGATTGATTACAAGGGAACTTTACTCAATGTTTCTGTGGCTCCTCTTGAAGCTGAGAAGCCAAGTCGTCCTCTTTTGTCAAGATCCATCAATCTCTCAGAAGTGTTTCGAAGTGAAAACCTGTTCGTTGGGTTCTCTGCAGCAACAGGGACAGCGATAAGCTACCATTATCTTCTTGGATGGAGTTTCAGCACAAGAAGTGAATCATTACAGCTACTTGACATCTCAAAGCTTCCTAGAGTTCCTCGGCTTAGTGTTGAGCATAAAAAAGTGAAACAATATGGTCTGTTTATAGCTCCGGTCGTTGTTCTTGGTATCATAGTAATAGCTGTTCTTGCAGGAGTTTATTACAAGAGGAAGAAGAAGTATGCAGAAGTAAAAGAGCCATGGGAAAAGGAATATGGCACACATCGCTTCTCTTACAAGTCTTTATACATAGCAACAAAAGGGTTTCACAAAGATGGGTTTCTTGGAAGAGGAGGTTTTGGAGTAGTGTACAGAGGAGATCTTCCTTCAAACAAACCTATAGCTGTGAAGAGAGTGTCTCATCATGGTGAGGAAGGTATGAAGCAATTTGTAGCTGAAGTGGTGAGCATGAGAAGTCTAAAACATAGGAATCTTGTTCCACTTCTTGGGTATTGCAGAAGAAAAGGAGAGCTTTTACTTGTGTCTGAGTACATGCCTAATGGGAGTCTTGACCAGCATTTGTTTGATGAAAAGCAAAGTCTTGATCTTTCTTGGTCAACACGTCTTGTGATTCTCAAAGGCATAGCGTCTGCTCTGTTTTATCTTCATACTGGAGCTGAACAAGTCGTTCTTCACAGAGATATCAAAGCTTCTAACGTTATGTTAGACGCTGAGTTAAACGGAAGGTTAGGTGATTTTGGTATGGCTAGGTTTCATGACCATGGAGGCAACGCAGCTACAACAGCAGCGGTTGGGACTGTTGGTTACATGGCGCCAGAGCTAATAACAATGGGAGCTTCTACTGTGACCGATGTTTATGCGTTTGGTGTGTTCTTGCTTGAAGTAGCTTGTGGGAGGAAGCCTGTGGAGTTTGGGATGGATGCTGAGAAACGATATCTGATCAAATGGGTTTGCGAGTGTTGGAAGAAAGATTCTTTGCTTGACGCTAAAGATTCAAGATTTGGAGGAGAGTTCGTGTCTGAAGAAGTCGAGTTGGTTATGAAACTTGGGTTGCTGTGTACTAACATAGTGCCGGAATCGAGACCGACGATGGAACAAGTGGTTCTTTACTTAAACGAGAACCTGGCGTTGCCGGAGTTTTCACCGTATACAATTGGGATTGGAGCTTTTAGTCCTGTAGTGGTTGATGCAGCTTCGCTCACAGTGTCGTGTACTGCAAGGAACTGGTCAGCTCCTTCGGTTTCTTCTTCATCAGCTAACAACTCAAAGGATTATGAACAAATGTTGGAAGCTAAGAACTCTGTTAAAATAGTTGCGGAATCAGAAGACATTGAGTCTCGTCTCTCCAAGCCATACAGTGGCAGGTAATAAAGGTCTTTGACTTTTGAATATCGATTAGGTACAAATGTTGACTTCAAGGCATTGTTGCTGAGTGATCTCATTGAAGCAATTCATTCTCCAAACAATCATCTAACTTGTGAATGTTTTCAGATCTTCTTCGTTGTATTTCAGAGTGTGTTTTTACTTTTACTGATCGGGTAATTAGTTAGCAAGTTTGAATAATTATCCATTGCGTAGCCTAGCCAAAAGAACAACATCTACAGTACTTTCTACTTTTAACCAAATAAAATCAGTTTCTTCCGAGTTAATTACTGACCACTGTACTGAGGTTCCTTCAAAGTGGGCCACATAATGGGCCTCTTTTGGGATAAACTACTGGCCCGAATTTGTAATAATGAAAACTTCTGAAACGCGTGAGTTACACGCGTCTAAACACTCCACCTAGTGAGTGACCTTCCCTCACGCCTCCGTCCCGGAATCTCGCTGTCGATGACGCTACCGTCTAAGTATTTGTTCGATTCTTCCGGTGACAGAGAAGAACGCCGCCAACAAAGCTCCGATCTGTACAGCTTATAGTTTCCCGGTATGTTTCATATTTCTGGATAATGATGAGCAAATTTAGGGTCGGACTTGGAATAGTCGGAGAGAAAATGACCGGGGAATGATCTGAAGATTGTGACTTTTGTGACTTGGTCAGCGATTTTTTCTTAAATCAAGTAATTTTTTTTTTTACGACCTTAAATCAAGTAATTAATTTGGAGAAAAAAAATTCGATAGAAACTGCCTCTGGATTCAACTTTTAGTCTGCATTTTATTTTTTGTGGTTCTCTTCTGAAGGAATTTATCAATTTGACCAAGAAAAGTTGGTTTACTCATTACTGTGTCTCTTGAAAAGTTTAGGGGACTACCTAAATACTTGTTGAATATACGAAAGACTAGAGGTTTTATAATCTTTTGAATACATATGTGTTATCTAACTTATACGTTTTTGAATGCAATTGAACCAGCTGTATTCCAAGTTATTTGAGATTTTTTCGGAAATATTTCTGCAAGAGGGAAGTACTTAGCTTGCTTATGTTTGTTTCAGTTGACATTGGAATAACCAAGAGTAGACCATAAAATGTTTTACCAGCAGTATTTTAATTTACATGATGGATTTGATTATGCAATAATTATGGTCTTTGTCATGGTTTTCTTTGATTATATTATCATGGACATGGGGTCAAATTTGTGATGCCTATTGGGAATACATTTTGCGTTGGCTGACTACAGTTCCATAGCAGAAAAATGTTAGTTAATTTGGAGGACATGGAATTTTGAAAATTTAGTTTGACTTTTTATCCTGAAGTTTTGCAGCTGTATAGAGATTGATTCTTACTGAGTGCAGAGAAAAATTCTAATCATCAAATTCAGACTCTCTTTCAGTAATAATGACTTGTGGACTGTATCTGGTTTTGATCTTCTCCTGCGTTCATTTGATTTCTCTGTCAGGTCAACAAGAAACCGGGTTTGTCTACAATGGCTTCGATCAAGCAGACCTTTATGTTGATGGGCTCGCCAGAATCCTTCCTGGTGGGCTTTTGCAGTTGACAAATGCATCAGAGTTTCAAACGGGTCATGCTTTCTTCAAGCAGCCATTTGTTTTCCATCCATCTTCATCACTCTCCTTCTATACACAGTTTGTATGTGCGTTGGTGCCTCCTAAGTTGGGCGCTGATGGTGGCCATGGGATTGCCTTTGTTGTATCTCCTTCCATGAATCTCTCCCATGGATCTACAACTCAGTACTTGGGCGTCTTCAGCAACCCAGTAAATGGTACTTCTTCTTCTTCTTCTCAT